ACGATTATTGCTAAGAATAGGACACTGTAACTTTCTTTGTTGTATTTATACCTACAAAGGAATTTTCCAAGTGTGATAAAGCTTTTTCTTGAAGAAGTGGAATAAGAACATATTTTACGATGCTCCGTCGTTAGAATGAAAAAACTACAAGTCACTGATCCATGGTGAATCATTTTTGTCGTTCTGTTGTTATTGCAGCATCTACATACTGGGAAAAATTCATATATTAATCTTTTCGCGAAATATAAGAGATTAAAAGAAAAGAACATTGCAAAAGCGACAGAACGACAAAAATGATTCACCATGGATCAGTGACTTGTACTTTTTTCATTCTAACGACGAAGCACCGTAAAAAGTTTTATTTTCCCCAGAAGAAAATTAAATCACAATTTTAATTAGTAGTGTGCGAACTAGCGAGCAGTTAGTATTGTGAAGGATTTTATTATAATCTGATAATGAATAAATACGTATTTCTAGTACTGGTTAAATATAACATCGTTCATAGCTGTAAGACTGATAAACTTTATCACATGGCATCCGATAAAGAGCACTTAGGTGTTGTATTAGTGATGAAAACAACCAAATCGGAAAATTCGAGGTTTCGAATCCTAAAAAGGGGTGGATGCTCTTACGGTATCACATTACACCTTAATTTATTAGAGAGTACTCTTTACTCACGCGCAACACATTTTTGACCTTGTTTTTCACTTTCTTTTCTTTCCTTTGACTCACAATCGATGGCGGAGACGGAGAGAGAGTAACGCCGCTGCGAAGCGGTGATATGTATTTGACATCGGTTTCATCAGCACAAACGCAACAGTGTCATATAATACCGACGTGTCTACGTTGTTGAAAAAGTGAATCATGCAGTGGCTTTCTTCCACTCCGCAACATAATGTTGAATTATCTTCGCTCTCACATATTAAGACTACTTTTGAATATTCATAGATCATAGCGCGTTCTGTCACTTGTGAACGATCTTCATGGCCGCTAATACATCAACACTAGCTGTCAATCAGGTAGATGCGAATGCAGTTATCGAATTTGTGCGTCAGAATGGCATAACTCATTTGACGGAAGCGGGTCGCCGACAACTGGATGCTATACACAAAATTTCACTCACTATTTGTGTTGCTGGTAACAGTGGTGTAGGAAAATCATCGCTTATCAATACGATGCGACGACTAGCACCGGGCGATCCCGGCGCTGCATCGGTTGATGAAATCGAATCGACGACTATGCCCACCGCCTATCCACATCCCGACAATGCCAATTTGCTCTTCTGGGATGTGCCAGGTAAGGTTACGAGTTGGAAAAAGGCACTATCCTCTCTTTCTTTGCAGGTGCAGGCACTCCTAACTTTTCTCGCGCGTCTTACATGACGAAGATCAACATGGATCGCTACGATTTTTTCTTGTTAGTGACGCGCGCATGCTTCACTGAAAACGATCTTTGGCTTGCCAACGAGATCAATAGTCGTCGGAAACGCTTCATTATTGTACGCACATGTATTGATATTGACCTGAAGAATGAAAAGCGAGATCGACCCAGTACTTTCAATGAAGCTACGGTGCTCACACAAATTCGTGAAGAATGTAATAATCATCTGAACAATGAGAAAATTTATTTGATTAGTACATGTCTTGCTCATGTTCGTCTGTGGGATTTCGAACGACTCACAAATGACCTCATTGACATGTACCCGGTGGAGAAACGACATGCCATTACGCTTGCTATGAGTGCAGCAGGCCGATTGGCTATTCAGAAGAAGGTAAACTCCCGTGCACCTGTGCCTATTTGGATGTACGCATGCATCTGATGCGACTACATTCTCTCCTTTGTGATCATCCTCAGTTTTTCTTCCATATAGATATAAATACTTAACGAGAGCGAAAGTTATTGGAAGGTGACGAAATACAGGGCGCGTCAAGGTATTTTTTAAGGGAGTATAGTTCAAACGACAAATGATATAAAAGCGAATTTTCTACCGAATGGAAGCCCATTGAAAATTGGATTTATGAGTATCACTGGCAATCCAAATGAAGACTATGGAGTGTCGAAAAGGACGGTGGACGGTATACGTATAAAGTGACAGGGATAGTGGCAGATCTGCCACTTAAAACTTTTTTTATACGAAAGCTCAAGTGTCTTATACAGGGCGAAACGGCACGTCGGGTTGAGCATTTTACGTGGCGGAACTTGATATTTTAAATGTAATCATGAAGAGTTCTCGTCAAGTCAACTGGGAAACAAGTAGCGCGTCGGCCGTTGAGCCGCGCTTCACTCAATCTTGAAAGTAGACTATAGAGAAAATAACATTGCTGTCCAGAAAAGGTATGGCCTAGATCGTGTGATAGTTTTTGAATCCTTGTTTCCGTAACCGGTCACTCAACGAAAGCATCAAATATTTCCCTAGAAACTTGTTGTACATTCTGTAAGTCCCCAACAAGAAAGCGATATTACACCGAGGAAACTCATATAGAGACGATAATCAACCATTTGGTGCATTTCTCACGTTAGTGCATTTATTTTGAGATCTTTTAACACGGTCCATATGCTAATTGAACGTATATAGGCGAATCTCTTAGATTCTGTGCATTTTCTGACAAAGGTAAGCCAGTTTTTGACTTTCAAAAAATAGGAGAAAAACGGCTCAACTCTGTAACAAATGTAAGGTGCAGCTAATGCAAAATTCGAGTGGATTTTATTTTTCAATTCGTCATACATATTCTGATTTGTCTTGTTCAGCTGATCATGAATATCACCTTTAAAATGTTTAAAAGTCCTTTTTTCATGGAGAAAAACCTGAAATACTGCAAGGGTCTAAAAAATCGAAAAAAATGACCTTTATCGTAGAAGTGACTTTTTCAAAGTTTTATTACAAGATGAGAGACTGAAACTATTGTTTTCTGAATCAGCGTTGAAAACTGATTTAGAAAAAGGTCTTCAGTTCATTTTAAAGGTAAACAGTCGTCAGCCATGGACGTCCGAACCAACGACTGTCAACTGACTATGACTCCTTTTGTAAACTCATCTAGTTTTTTGGGAGAAGGGCTATATCGATGATTCACACACCATCAGATCGGTCAACACGCCAGATTTAAAAGTACGGAGAGCTTTTTTCAAAATTCCTTTTCCTTGCTGAGAAAAACGGCTTTTACTGAAAACCAAAGAGAAACAGCGAGGAGACCTTTGGAAAACCAGGCCGTGTGTAAAGTTTTCAGTAGGATTAGCCTTGAAAACGGATGGACTATAGATAATCGATCATGCTGAGTCTCGTGGCAATATTTGTTTTTAGAAAAAGTTCAAAAAGTCTACCGAAAAGCGAGTTTTACGAAAATTTGGGTTTTCAGGCTGTTTTCACCTATTACAAAATTCACTATTCACTAAAGAAGCATCAGAACGGGTTCAAGACTTCAGGATATAAAGTATTTAAGCTATTCTATATCCTATTTATAGGAGATCTTAAAAGAAAGTTTACAACATCCTGAGGTTTTTCAAAGTTCATAACTTTTCAAGTTCTGTCGCGAAATCGCGAATCTATAGTGATCGCGACATAGCGATAGGATAGCGAATCTTAGAAACAGACTTTTTTTAAAATAAGATTGGGCCAAGAGCACAGCGTTTAAGAGTTCAGCGCGATCGCGATGGGAATACAAGATTTTTTAGCGATCGCGCTGCGATATACGGAGTTTAATAGCGATCGCGCCACGCCTGAGGAGCAGAAGTTGACTTGGGTTCTGGAAAATAAGAATTGATCAAGATCGCACCGCGACTTCGCGACATTATGGCGATCGCGACGCGAATATAAGATTTCATCGCGATCGCGACGCGATTCTTATAAATTAATTTTCTCTAGAAGTAAGAATCTATCAAGATCGCGCCGCCACTGTAAGAGATCAGAGCGATCGCATCGCGACTTCACGATTTTACAGCGATCGCGGTGGCGACTTCGCGTTCGCGCCAAGAATGAGGCGCGAACGTTGACTTGGGTTGTTTTCGAAACACGTCGAATTGTTTATCATTCGATGCAGTGTTTTTCGTCTCCTATGTCTGAATCTCCTATGTTTCGATTAATTACAAGATAATTTTCTCAAAAGTGGGCTTTTACGATGAGAAAAGCTTGTATAAGCGAATGATCTTGAGTGTTGATATAAACTTTATTGTGTCAGAATACAAGCGGAAAAATACTCCATTGAAGTATTCTAAACTAAAACTATCGAAAAATACAAAATTAATTTTACGACAACCAGAGAATGTTCAGGAAACTCTGCTACCCTCTACAGCTTATTTTATGATAAATTCAAGCAATGGTATTTAAATCATTAGCATATTCTAATCGACAAGAAGGCAATAAGTGTTTTTCATAAATATCTAATGATTTTAAGCAATTATTTAAAGCTAGATATAATTTATCATCTCCTTCTATCATTGAATAAGAAAAAAACTGCTGCTAATCAATTTTGAGGACTATTCTTATGCTTGTGTAATAAAATTACTAGTTGTTTGAAATGTCCACACAACAGCCCAATAAAATCGTTCCATTTCGAGATATAGCGAGCCAACTTTCGACTGGATGGAAACAAGTAGTGATGGTTCTTTCGATAATTCTAATGCTTTATAACAATGTTCTAAAGGTGATTTTATGAATCCCAAAAGGTAATGTATCAATCGGGTATTACTATCATTACTATTCACGAAAAAGAAAAAAACTAGATGTGCTAAATAAAAGATTAAATTATGTCCGTCCTCTTAAAGTTAATTGTAATGAAACAACATTGAAATCTTGAAGAATGCGTGTTTACTTTATCACACGTCCGGAATACGTAATGAACTGAGATGTGTGGACAAAGTGTCTAAAGATGAATTGACGAATGAGGGTGAGGGTGAGAATCGATGAGAAGAGACGAATCTATCTATTTTTAACCTGAGAGAAAAGTGTCCTGTCGCTACGTAGCCTAATAAGCGTACACACCGATTCGCGATGAATTTGCAGAATGAGTTTGTCAATTCGTCGATCCATTTTCAACTGCTGGATCAGTTCGTAAATACGAATTCGTTAATTCGTATTTACGAATCAATCTAGCTCCAGAAACAGTGAACACGAATTCGTAAACTAATTTTCTTTTTTTCTAATATCTCTTAGCGCGATCATTATCTTATCGCTGTATCGCGGTACGATTCGCGATATGGTGAGTCGAGCCGAGACAATCGCAGATATATAAACAGTAGTATTTGCGTAGTCGCGTCGTAAGTCGCGATTTTTACACGTGAAACAGCATTCTATTTACGGAAGGCCCCATACCAACAGAACCCGCGAGAAAACAAGAAAGATACGACCTTCGGGCCTTCCGTAAATTGAATGCTGTTTCACGACAAAATGCCGTAAAGAGCTCGGAGACGTCTCATTTTCTTCAGGAACGTTTGCACTACAGAATGGTGCTATTTACAAAGCATTTCTATGTTGAACGTGAGGACCTGGCTTTCTGAGATCTTGGTTTGCCAGAAATCCTGGTTTTACGAGTTTATCGTATATATATATCTATGCTTTATCTCAATTACTGACATTGCATATCTGTTTAGTATTTTGTTTTACTAGTATTAAAGTGTTCATAAGTTCAGATTTATAGTTCATTAGTGATAACTAGATAATGATTCATCATCAACTGACTTTGAAGGCTTTGTATATGTGTATAGATGAACGATATCATCACTGTCATTAATCACTTAAAGAGAACTAGACAATATAGAGTAATATGTCATCATACTACAAAAAAAGTAAACCTTTTGTTTCTTTACAAGCGATTTCTGGATGGGATATGAGTAGGAGTAAGGACAACTCATCATCCTCTATCCAACCATGTGACTAGAGATTAGTTTCTGTGTGTGTGTGTGAATGAATTTTGGCTGGATGTGTTTCTCAGAGCATATAACCCAACGATCGAAGAAAAATTGAAATTAAAATTGCAGCAATGCTTATACATAGAATAATTAATCCATATGACTAAATAAATGAACATTTTAACAAAGTTATTTTGAAAACGAAGACGAAACAAAAAACTTACACATATCCTAAAATTATATAGATAATTGATTGCAGAATAAATAGCATAAAATGGTAAGAAAATAATACCCAAAAAAATTGTCAAGAAAATCTAATAATATCAGCAATTTTAACGTTATATTGTGTATAACTAATGCACAAACACTAACCAGAGAATTGATTAGCAAATTTGGATATTGTAGCAAATGCATTAATTATATTTTTAATCACACGATACAATTCTATAAAGCCGTTCAACCATCTATTAGAATTTATTCTACACGTTGATCGACGCATGTTTCTATGTTAGAATATAAAACAATGTTTTTCTCGAAAATTCACTGTCATATAAACAGGTGTAGATGATAACTAGTTTTTTTCCTTAGAAAACATTCTGGGTTATTAGCTAATTATACAGAGAGAAAAATAACAAAAGGTAAAAAACATTTTCCAACTAACTCAAGAAAAAGTGTAATATATTTTCTGCTTAAGTAAGTAAATAGAGACACTCCATTGAAATACACGGGGTTCTCAGAGACGAACCTTTACCGTGTCTCAGAAGCCGAATTTGGTATTAGACCAAGTGACAAAGTTCTTGAGACTGCTGAACCCTATCACATATGTGAAAATTAGTTCATTATTCCACTGGATAAGCTATCATATTGGCTTCACACTATGTGGGATATTAATTTGATTATGCACTAAATTAATTTTAAAATTAATTATGATACCTAGAGACAAAAAACTTTTACAAAATCTTCTGTCTATAGCTTTCATAAATATCTCCTCCATCGAATACAAAAACAATCATCTGAAAATTGTGAGAACTACGCAAGATAACACCAGATTATCCGACATATGTTTCATCTGAAGCACACACAATATGATATGAAAATATACTGTACAGGAAAACGCCGCGTACGTTGCGTTTATTTTTGATGTCTGATAGTTGACATTCGCCACAATTGAATATTTGAGATGGTTTGTCAATCAATTTGTACTTTTCAAAAATCGATTCTAAATAAATATAACACCATAACAAAATTGTTCGATTTAACTGATATGTGATTTGATCCTATATAAGCCGTAGTTTTCGCACGTATGTGTTATGTTTATATAGAATCTATTTTTGAAAAGCACACATTGAGTGATAAACCTGGAATAATGAGCTAATTTTCACATATGTGATAGGGTTCAGCAGTCAAAGTCTCAAGAACTTTGTTACTTGGTCTAATACCAATTCGGCTTCTGAGACACGGTAAAGGTTTGTCTCTGAGAAGAATAGCAATTGCTATTCTAAGAAAGCCGGTAACATATAAAGTGCGATTCGGTCTTGTATGGTCCTGGTGTGTTCTCACTTCTAGGCGTGCTTCGCGATCAAATTAGTTTGCGTAAAAATCCTCATCACTATTTAATAGTGTAATCATAAGGAAGAAAATGTGTGTATCGAAGGCTGTGCCTCGATAGCTCAGCGGTCAGCGCAATGGTCGTGAATACCACTGTCCTGGGTTCGATTCCCAGTCGAGGTGCACACTTTTCTTCCGAATATCAAGCTGCTGTTAAAACTAGTTTTCGTACTTTCTTTCTGTTGAAAAATTGAAAATTAGCTTTAAAAAAGTAGTTTTCTCAGATTTTCACAATGAAGGAGATATTTTCCAAACTTGAGTCTAGAAGATAAAATGTGGCAAATTGAATTTCCTCAATTTCATCTGCTAGGCTCAGCTTTGTACAGCTTGAGTTTCATGATGCAAAACTATCATTATCCATTATAATGATGAACTTCATACTGTGACTATAGACTGAACTCTAAAACATTTAGAATTCTAAAATTTCACACTGTGACTACACTCTAAATTCCAAAACATTTAGAATTCCAGAATTTCACAAGAATTTCAGGAGAATCTCAAACTTTGAGAAGAATTTTGGAAGAGTCTCAGAATTTCAGAATTCCATACTTTCGAGAAAGAGTGAATTTCACAAATACTAAAATTTCCTACTTTATCGTATGCAATATACAACTTCGAGTTTCTGACCCATGTCGTTAAATTCGCTTCATTCTAGACGATTAATGGCGATTAGCAATAAGAGTGCCAATCGCAATTTCGACTATAATCGTCCATAAATTGCGATTTTTAGCAATTGTTGGTTTATCGGCTGGCATGAAAAATCTCCAGTTGTTAAAACTCTCCTATATATCGCCATTTCTTAATAATGATTAATTCGTGATTCGATTCAGAGCCCAGTTGACTGGTACACTAAAACCTCGCGAACAAGTTACCGCTAATCGATTTACAGACGATAAATCGGCTGAAAAACCGCCAGAAAGTACTCGATTTATTGCCGATTAAACGAGCAGACGCTCACACTGTCCAACTATAAATGTTTCGAAACACACACAACACAGGCACGGTACAATTCTACCACTCCGAACTGCGAAACCTCGCAGATTATGAAATCCTCAAACTCTAGATATTAACGACTTAAAGAAACGCAGAACGGTGAACGGTTCCGAGATTCTGCAACTCAAAATGTTTCTCATATCAGAAACCAGCGATACTTCAAACCTTTCAGACTACGCGAGCCCCCAATTATAAATAAAGGGAAACCCAGGCAGCACAGACAATACGAAACTCAGAAATTCTAAAAATTTTGGAATTGAGAGTGTAGTCACACTGTGGCATTCTAAATTCTTAAATTCTTCAGAAACTCTGAAATTCCAAAACTCTAAACATTTTAGAACTCAGAGTGTAGTCACACTGCTAAGTTCTGACATTCTGAAATTCCTCAGAAACTTTGAAATTCTTAAATTCTAAATATTTCGGAATTCAGTCCACAGTCACAGTGCGAAATTCTTAGATTCTGAAATTCTGAAATTCCAAACATTTTGGAACTCAGAGTGTATTCGTAGTGTGAAATTCTGAAATTCTTCTGAAAACCCAAAATTCTTCCAAAACTTCGTGTAATTCTTGTGAAATTCTGAAATTCCGATAATCTGAGACTCAGAAATTCCAAAATCCTTATGTAGTTCTTCTGAAACTAGTCACAATGTGGAATTCTCACATTCGCAAATTTTTTACTACATCATCAGTTACGATTTATCAGTAGAGTCCTGCGGGTTTAACCCAAACCCGCAGGTTCGGGGTCGAAATGTGATCTCGAAAGCTTTTTTCGGGTTCGGGTCGGGACGGGTTTTGAATTCATCTGAACGGGATCGGGATCGAGTTTGTTTCCGATTCCGAGTCTTCTGGTTTCATATAGGGGAAGATAAGAGACAATTCTAAATAAATAAAAAAGAACGGAAAATAAGACAAACGGACATGTGTTACGCACTAGACGTACAACCGACTAAGTGTATTTTATTTTTTTGTACGTCTGCGAGTAGAAATTTACTAAGGTTAAAATGAAAGAGACCACTACTTCACTACAAAAAAATATTTCGGGTTGAGCGGGTTTGCAAAGAGTTTTATTTGAAAAAGTTCAGATCGTGATCCAGTAAAAGTACTGGCGGGTTCGGGACGGGTTTCAAATCCTCGAGACCGGATCGGGATCGACGAAAATCTCAGATCCGCAGGACTCTTTTTATCACAACAGAAAAAAATTTTCAAACAGTTACGGGACAAATGGGACGAAATAAAAAAGCCCGTAAATTTTTTTCACGGGACCGACGGGTTCGGGACAACATAATTTGCTCACGGGTTCGGGAAGAAAAGTTGTCCCGCAGGACTCTACTCAATCGATCAAAGCGAAATTATGTCTCATCGTCTATTCAAAAAACCACAAGTAGTGCAACAGTTATCCACCGAAACGAACAGTTTACTAGTATCCATCCCAAAATATAGTGCAAGTGGGCATTTTTGGAATAACTTCTGATAGGAATGAGATAGAGACCTGCGGTTTTCGCTGTGCGATACCCAAGACTTGAGCGGCACTTTTTACAAGCGGAAACAACTTTTGACAAAATTTCAAAGATCGGATTTCCAGAGGATCTTTGGAAAACCAGCTCCGTTCTCAGAAAACTAACACACACTGTTAGTAATCTTTTTTGCATGCGTAGATAGTCCGGACGCTATTCTAATTCTACTTCATTCAATGTCTGAAGTACCTGACCATCGATTTGTTGAGCTAAATAAGTGCCAAAATAAAAATGTTGAAAGTATACTGAAAATTCGCATTGCCTGCACCTTACATTTATACATATTTTGCCTCTTTTATTGTTTTAGTAGTTTGATATCTTCTCGATTAGCTTGATTGTTATTTTCTTATTCTTTTTACAAAATTTTTACTAATATTAAATATAATACAATTCACTCAGAATACCTTCAAAGCCAGAAAAAAATGACCATGCATCTGTTCATCCTGAGTTATCATAGATCTGCAGGCATAAAAATATATGGAAAAAACTGGCTAATTGCGAGTAATCTGTAAAAGTGTTAAAAAGTCGCCAATTTATTGACGATTAAGCGGTAGATTAATCGCTAAAAAATTGTTGATTTATTGCCGGTTTTGACTGCATGGGAAATCGATGAGCATGAATGCATGCCTGACATTAGATATATCTGTTGCTGAATGTGAGCAAGATTCTTTTGGCCTACGTATTTGTTATTCTCGTCTAGAACGTATGAACAATCAGCTATTCTCACTCCTTATTTCTGAGAAAAAGGCTTTTACGATTCTAGAATAATACACAGTCATACACTTGTCTGCTCTTTATCTATTTTTAGTACTTATTTGTATTCTAACTATACTGAAATATTGTTTCAATCTAAATTTTGACGTCTATTTAGTGAATCATTTTTTTTATCATGCGTATGTATTTTTTGTAAAAACAGTCAAAAGCAATACAATTTCTATAAGGAATCAAATAAGGACATAAGAAATAGGATTAATTTTTGACAGGTGACAGAGTTTCTTGATGCGTTGATGAATTCACGCTGTTGCTCCAGAATATAATTTTTCGTGCTACTTGTTTTCGTTGTTAAGTTCACTTGAGAAATTTATGGTTGCGAGTTGATGCTAGAACTGTCAGTGGCAGACTTAGGGTGCTGGCGGCCGCCAGCACCGAAATTTTTGATTTCATACTATTATACTCTCCTTCTTGTGCAACATAGTAATAAAGTAAAAGAAGTAGAAATCGTGTCGTCTAGAAACTCCTAAGCAAAGTTGTTAAACTTGTTCTTTTGTCCAAATCCACCAGCACCGAAAATTTTTTCTGGATCCGCCACTGAGAGGAGTGTCTCGGATTCCATTATTATAATTTTATTTGTACAAATAAATTTAACAAGAGTACACTTTGTCACCAAACCATGTGTACGTCATTTTAGTAAACAGAGATAAACGTGAATAAGTTGGTATTTTTCAACAAGACTGTAAAAGATGAAAAAGTCTTTCCACCGGAGATTAGAAAAGAGAACACTACTAACTTGTATGTCTCTATTATCTGTTATTCTGTATAAACGTAAAAACATACAGGTATACTTGACTAATATCAATATGACAAAGGTTTTACTTATCAACGATACATTTGAACTCATGCGTAATGCGAAGTAAGGCTGTTCTAAAGGAAGTTAATGCTTTTAGATGAAACAACATGATGTAACTTAGTTTTCTGACTGTTTCTCTCAAAAAAAGTCACAAATAGTATGAAGTATGAAGTACATGCAACATAGTTATCAAAAGGCTTTTAATTACTGATTGGTTTGACTTAGTCTCAAAAACTAACCTAGTAAAATTATTTTGTTCATGAGTATTTTCGCATTGCGTAGCATGTCATGCGCATTTGGCATTTCTTGTCATGCTGTGGCTGCTTGGTCTCATTCGTACGTCTCATTCGTAACAATTGCAGGTTACGTTCACTGTTGCTTACACAATCAGTGTAAATTTTGTAAAAGGTTTCTTGTATTATCCCTGTGAGACATATAAACCGCCTTGGAGTTCTAATCAATTCAGCAAGGAGATCAGTAAGTGTTGGACGGTTATAAGAGTCAAGTAGCACCGTGAGATGGTAAACGGTGAGCTTAGGAAGTGAGGGTAGAATATTGAGCATATGAGGAAGTTGATTGAAGTGAGCAAGACGTTGAAGTTGTTGATCGTTATTCATCATGTGAATTAGTTGACTGAGAGGGCCGATGACACGTAAGATAAAAGTGAATAGCGTAAGTCCATGCATTATCAGTTCAATGCGTCCGAGTTGTTGACGTCTTTGGTCCATTTTGTGTGTTAAAACTTAATCTAAAAAGATAAATACATTAAAAAAATTTTCCTTTAAGATAAGGAACAGAAGTTAATTGTGACCTAAAAGCAGCAAGAACATTTAAGAGTACGAAATTTGGTGAAATTTTGTGCTGTTTGGTCGCATAAAAATTAACGTTTAGATTCCGAATGTGAAAAGAAATGTGACAAAAGCTGCATTGAATCAGTTTTTACAGGCTTAGCACCATATACGAGACGGACAGCGTTTTTCAATCACTTCCGTCCATGGACATTTTTATACCACATGGTACTTTAGCTGTTTTGCATGGACATTTTTTTGTAGCACAACCACTATTACAAGCACAAGCTTCTGCAACTGGATTAACACCACTACTAACGTAATCTTTACAAGCTTGAATAAATGTTTGAGAATCAATAGCACGTAATTCCGAAAAATTACATTTTGTTATGTCGATGAGATCATTAACACCATATCTTGAAGACAGAACATATTTTGTTGTATAAAGACGATAGGTATTCATATTGTCGGATGATGATTGTATTGAAATGACTTTACATGGTAAAATTTTCGATGTTGTATTAGTTCTATCAACTTTATCAATTTTTAAGCCAGTCAAATCTCCAGTTTGGTATTGTCGTAATTTTTGAGCATCATCATATAATCTTTGTCTTTTAGCGATTGTTTTCATAAAAGCTTCTTCTGTAAGTAATAAGTCTGTACCCTGTTCTCAAGACGAGATAAACTGAACATTCTCTAGGGTGAACATGAAAGAAGGACACCTAAATCTCATCTTGGGTTAAACGAAAAATACAAGTTTATAGCAAAGAGTTATGATTTGTGCATCAAAAATCACTAGCTTGTTTGTGTTTTCATCAAAAACAAATACATCTTGATTTATCTAAACAGAGAGTAGTGGTTTTAAAACAAAATCATCTCGTTACATAGGGCACAGGTGCAAATCAGGCATTTCCATGCAGCTTTACCTTCCTGAAAACGAATATGGATGTGAATCTTGCGTTTACAAAGTTGTAGACGAGTTTTCTGTTTTTAGAAGGAAATGCGAATCAAACTTGCGAAGCTTTTCGCACATTTGCGTTTATGCACTTTTTTAAACATCCATGAACCCTCGAAATTTTGACTTTTTAGTTGTTGTTTTTTTTTGATAGGCGTGCTGCTGTTTGTGTGTTTGTTTGATCGCACAATAAACGAGATAAACCTAAGAAAACTGCTTTAGAAAGAAACGTTTGAAGTGAAAACAAGAATCTTGTCAGAATGCGCACAAAAGCTCGGTTAAACAGATGTAATCAGTCAATGCGTGCAGAGAGAGAGAATGGAGAAAAGAAAAAAAATGATTTTTTTTGTTGGCGCCGAAGAATGCAAGATGTGTGAATGATACTATCTCATCCAGAGTGGGTGCTGGGTTTGCATATAGGAGAGGAAAAACTTGGTCCTGTCTACATTTTTTCCGTTATTAGACCTCATCATGAAAGAAAAGGATAAAACGAAATAATGAAAACGTATATGTAAGTTACTCTTAAAAAGGAGTGGATATTTACAACATTTCAAAACGTCGTCGTATTGTTTTTTAATCCAATGTCTTTAACTGAAAATCTCGAAGACTTATCCATTGTTTGGCTTGACACTAATAGTGCCAATGATACAGATCGACGAGTTCGTTTTCGTGATATAATTAATTACATAACGTTTTTTCAAACGTATGAACAGTGTATTGATTATATAGTGTCTAACAAAAACGAGAGAATATTTTTTATTGTTTCCGACTCATTTGTGGAAACAATAGTTTCACTTATTTATAATATGTCACATATAATTTATATTTATATCTATTGTGCAAATAAATCGTTAGACAAAGAGTGTATAAAACAATATATAAAAGTTCAAGATATATTTACGGAGGAATACAGTTTATTTTCTAAATTACACGATGATGTAGAACAATATCGAAAACGTTTATCACCACCAATAAGCATTTGTAATTTATCAATGGTTAAAGAAAAATCCATTCAACATTTGAATAAAGGATGTGCAGCATTTTTATGGTTTCAGTTATTAATCGAATGTGTGTTCCGTTTGGAAGAAACAAGTATAGAGAATGCTAAAAAAGAAATGTTAGATGAATGTCGACAATATTATAAAGATAATAAGGTGGAACAAAATAAAATAATTGAATTTGACAAGAATTACTCATCAGATAAACCTATGGAATGGTATACACGTGATTTATTTCTATATCGATTATTGAATAAAGCATATTTAAATTTCGTTTTTTGCTTTCTGATCTTTATAATCAAATGTCAAACATACATCGTCAATTATCAGTATGTTCCAATGATTTAACTGTCTATCGAGGACAGAGTATGTCTGCTGATGAATTAAAAAAAATCAAACAAAATATTGGCAATCTTATACCGATTAATACCTTTTGTTTCACAACAACATCGTTTGAAGTTGCAAAGATTTTTGCAGGTGATTCTAGTCAGCGTCCGTCAATTGAATCAGTTATTTTGGAAATACATATTGACACAAATGTTATTAAAAAACCATTTGTTAATTTAAGTGATTTAAGCAAACACAAAGATGAAAAGGAAATACTCTTATCACCGGGTATTGTTTTTGAAATTAATGAGGTTTGCCAATCAGAAAGTAATCATTGGCATGTAAAATTGATAGTCAAAGGTGAACAAGAAATAAGAATACATCAATTAATGGATCACTTCAAACAAGAATTAGGTAAAACAACAACATTATTACAATTGAGTAAACTTTTAATAATAATGGGTGAATATGATAAAAGTGAACGATATTGTAAATTGTTGATGAACCAGATATCTGATGATCATCCTGACAGAGCTCAATTGTATAATAATTTGGGTCTTACCTATGTTGAGAAAGATAGTTGGGAATTAGGAAGAATGTATCTACAAAAAGAACTTTAGATTTAAAGAATCTCAAGTCAAATGATCCATCATTGGCAATAACGTATCAAAATATTGGTAAATATTGGTATAGCAGAGGAGTCTATGATGAAGCAATAAAAAATGATAAACTGGCTCTCAATATCGAGTTAAACGCATTACCGAAAGCAAATTTACTAGCTGGAGCAACGTACAATAATATAGGTTTCGCATATAACGAACAAGGAAAGTACAAAGAAGCACTTGAACACTTTGAAAAATCACTCAAATATAGATTATTGTCATTACCGAAAGATCACCTAGGTTTTGCTTGTACATATAATAACATTGGTCTACTTTATTTTGATACTTTTAACGATAGTCAAGCATTAATATACTTTGAAAAAGTTCTTCGAATTAACCAACTATGCTTGCTGGAAAATAATCCAACAACAGCGAGAGTATTAAACAATATTGGTTTGATTTATCAACGATAAGGTAAAGAAGATAGAGCACTGCATTATTTCAACAAATCACTTGCTAATTTAGAAAAAATATCTTCACCAGATAAAAATCACACAGATTTTACAATGATATAAAATAATCTTGGATTAGTTCAATTTACACTCAAGAATTGGAATGAAGCACTCGGTCATTATCAAGAAGCTGAAAAGATATGCATTCAGATATATGGTTCGGAACATCCGTCACTTGCGACAATATATTTTAATATGGGTAATATTTATAGTGATGGTAAGTAGGATTATTTAAAAGCTCGTACCTATTTCGTAAAAGCGCTAACGATTGCACTGGAATCATTGCCGCACGATCATAACGACATTCGATTGTATCGGTTTTATAGGCATGACAGAAATTGTTATTGGTCAACAAGCAAAAATCATCTGCGATTCACTTTTAGAGCTTGACTGATCTTTGTCTTAGGTGAATTGAACGCTGTAACGTTGAAATTCTTTTAGGCCACTGGTAAAGAATGAAAATATTTATAAAAAACGAAACCAAAGTATATGGTTGGTATTTTTCCTTTTGTTCAAGATAAAAGCTTTTTAAGAAATTTTAATGGTAGTCTGCAAAACAGAAAACTCTGATGGGCAGGGGCGGCGGAGCCACTAGGCGTGGTAAGGCTTGAGCCTTACCAAATTTTGGCTCCGTTAGGCTGAGCCTTACCAAAAATTAGGAAGTAGAAATTGTTTTCTGATGCATTTTTGTATTGGACTTTTTCGTCTTCCAAAGAACGCAAAAAACGTCAAGCCTGAGCCTTACCAAATTTCAAAACGCTCCGCCGCCCCTGCTGATGGGTGCTGGTATTCTTCGAAAAAACCCACGCTAATAGACAAGAATTAAAAAAACCCATGCCCATGCAATCACTAGAAGCTTTTTGTCCATCCATGCTCATAGGTATCCAATTCTCAGCACTGTTTGTTCTAAGAGAGGGCAAGTAGATTCATCGTAGCTTGCAGCATTCGTTTATTAGTAGAACAGTGATTAAAAATGGTCAATATGAACATCACTTCTTTTTTCCGAAATCTCCACTTGGAGTCATCGTACATACAATTCTAAATTCTTTTGTGGCATTAACAATTTTAATTTGATCATAGTGATCACCAGTAATAGTAGAAGTGGTGGTTGTAGCCGCTGATAAACCTTTTTCAGCTAAAACAATTTCTTTTAGCCAACGATATTTCATCAATCAAAACCAGACCACCAGATTTCATTGCACAAACTAAAACACCATCTTGCCATTCGAATAAACGACGTTTTATTATTTTACTTGGTTCTTGTCCGTCTGTGTAATAGAAAAGAGGCCATTATTCATAGATTAACAATATAAGTTTAAGTTACACGTACTCGAACTGGTCTCATTCCACCAATAAGATCAGCACTTTCTGTTGTTGTATGACAGTTGATTGTGTAAAGCTATTAATCATTCACTGAGCTCAACATTTCACAAATTGTAGTTTTACCACAACTGAACGTAGCAAGAGCCTTTTAAACTAGTCACTTACGAGGGAACCTATTCAGGTGCCCAACTTCGGTTTGAATGATTTATATTTCGATCGATAGAGGAGAGACAGCAGTAGAAATTCTAAATGGTTTCGGGCCCATGTTACTTCTTTCAAAAGTTACGGAGGTTTTATCTTTTTTGCTATGGAAGCATGGAAAAAATTAAAATTTTACAACTCTTGTAAAAAAAAAGCAGCGAAGAGCTCAATTCTTTTTTTTTCATGGCTCTACTAGTTGCGCTGATATTCATATAAAGTTTCACCTTGTTTCATTCATGACTTATTGAATTCTTAAGTTTTCCACAGGTTCGCTCTTGGATACGCTCACAGTGAATGAGCTCCACAAACGTTACTTACCAAAGCGATTGAAAGTTTAGAACAAAGATGGTTCCGAAGTCTTATTCTTATTAAGAAAAAAAAAAGATTGACTCTGATCTGATCGTAAATTACGAGATCGCCAGAGACCTCCTGAAAAACCGGACTTACACAATATCAATGTTGTGCAGTTTTAATCGCCAGTTCATTCATCAGTAATAGTAAGTCATTTCGCCAGTTACAACTATTTTTGTTCTAAAATTTCAATTGCTTTGGTAAGTAACGTTTGCGGAGCTTATTCATTGTGAGCGTATCCAAGAGCGAATCTGTGGAACACTCGAGAATTCAACAAGTCACGAATGAAACAAGGTGGAATGCTGAAACTTTATATGGATATCAGACATAGGTTAGCGACATAGGTTAGTTTTATTTCAAAAAATAATTCCGGAAAAAGCACCTTCCTTCTTAAAAACCCTGCTGCCATCACGTCCAGATCCTCCTATTGTCTTCTCATACTCACTACGAAGTCGCGAGAAGATGTTACTTCCAACTCCACGTTGTCGTTTGAATATATTGTATGACTCAATGATATATCGTACAACGAGAGAATACAATGAATTACCAGTGGAAACACGGCTGATATTTTGGATGCCAAAGTTTAAGAAAAGTTTATTATCGCAGAGAGAAATTCCAAAGACTAACAATAGACACGCCGACATTGATTACTATCGGTGTCGAGTTGGATTTTCACAGTTGAGGGGAGACCTGCATCTTCGTGGTCTTGCTTCTGACCCTTTTTTGCTCGTGCGACAACATGACAGAGGAAAGCCTTTTCCATTATTTTTTTGAATGTCCATTACATGACATCGCGCGATTAGCTCTAATCTCGATATTTCAGTTGGATCTGCCTCGTTTGAATTTTGACCTGAAAATTCTACTTTTGCAAAATTCTTTAACAACTCAAGAAATTCAGATCGTATTCAAAGGTGTCATAAACTTTGTTGCCCAAACGAATCGGTTTGTTATGCATGACTGATAAACATATTTTTTCTTGATTTCTTAGCACTCCAGTCCAGAAACGCAAACTATTTTCCCTTCCCTACTTATTCTGATCTCATATGATTACATACTGGCATACACTTATCCCTTAGTCCATTTTTTCCTTTTTGTTGTACTCAAGTAGCATGCTTTAAAAAAATGTAATTTTGCTAGGTTTTTGGTTGCACATTTTTTGCACTATGCAACACAGACTTGCCTGCAAGCACAGCTGCGTTTGTTTGTTGAAGTTAAACACAACTATATTTTAATAAACAAGAACAAGTTTAAAGAAAACACTGAGGTGTTCTCATGCACTATGGCGGTGCATACGACGTTTATGGAGCTCATTCATTGTGAGCGAATCTGTGAAAAACTCAAGAATTCTTTGTTTCATGCTAATACATTCTTTTGTACTAAATTGTGACGCTGTTTTCGTTGCACTATGAAAGCACGGTTTTTTTGCTTTATATGAACTTAGTAAACGCGCTAATTGCTGAAAAAGACAGAGAAAAAACGAACAATAACAGGTAGTCCAGATTAAATTAGCAGCTTTTTTTATCGATTTTATCTCTGCTGCCTCTAATTCGGTAAAAGATTGTTAAGTTATCTTCAACCAACTTCAATATAACCAACTGCATCAATATTTTCTTTAATCGCATTATTTGTTTGAGATAAATTGTCGTTAACTAATTCCTGCAAACAAGATAATCATTCCATACCTCAGATATTCTGTTAGTAAAATCATGCCTCTTCGTCAAGAATCTGCCAGTAGCCGCTCCACTTGCTTCAGAGCGATTCGCTTGAAAGCGTACCAGAGTTTACATCGACCTTGTCCGAATTGTTCGAGAGTAACAGGACTAGCACAACTCGGGCTCCTGATGACAAATATCACGTTTAAAAGAATTTAAAATAACGGCACGATGGCCTTCTAGACCTATGAAAATCCCATTTGCCAGCGAAACAACCCTTTTGTGGGTATTTTTACCATTTTCTATTGGAACACTTTCATGAGCTGGTACCGTTAGATTAGACTCTATGTGTGCAGAGCTACAAAATCGCTAGTGGATAAAATGTTCCAAAATGTTACTCACGTTCTCAGGAAAATTTTTTAAAAAATCCTTTTTTCCGAAAAGTAGGCCTTTTTTGAAAACCATTTTTTCCCCATACAGTCATATCACAAGACAAGAAGGTGTGCATTCGACGCGTCTTTTCAAGCTCTATCCGATGAAATGGTTCGGATTGAGATTAGGCATGCACCAAACCCCAACGTTCACGTTCGATGAGTTCGGATTCGGGTTCGTTGCTTCGTCCAGCCATATTTAGTTCCCTTCCAGAAGCAGACAGTAGTAAGTCTAAAGAGAAGGTTTCGCGGTTGATTATGAAAGGTCTACGCATCATGAGAAAAATTATCCAAACTAAACAACAATAGACTTCATCGAAAAATTTTTAAGATGTTTCAAAATATCCGAACCCGAACTCCGAATCCGAACGCGAACTTAGCGGAACCTTAAGATGCTTCTAAAATCTCTTATACAGCTCAAAAAAACTATAAGACAACTACCAAGATACTCCACACTGTCAGTATCTGTTGGATACCATCCGAACTCTAACCCGAATCTTAGAAACAAACCCAAACTTGAGCCGAACCTGAACAGTTTGGGTTTGGTG